TGTTGTCGTCGTCGTTGTTGTCGTCGAAGTCGTCGGAGTCTTCGTCGGTGTCGTCGTAGTCGCCGTCGGCATCGTCGTCGTCGTCGTCGTCGTCGGTGTTGTCGTCGTCGTCGTTGTTGTCGTCGAAGTCGTCGGAGTCTTCGTCGGTGTCGTCGTAGTCGCCGTCGGCATCGTCGTCGTCGTCGTTGTCGCTCTCGTCGTCGGCGTCGGTGTCGTTGCCAAGTGCCATTTGGTATCTTCCGTCACGGTCTTAAGAGGTCTTGCGACCAAGTTGCGGGTGGGAGGGTGGGAAGTTTGCACGAGCAGTGGAGAGGACAGCTTCAAGACAGTCGAAGTGATTTTCACAACGTAGACTGCACCGCAGACATCGCACCACTTAGATTGTACCACGTAGATTGCACAACATATATTGCGCAACATAGAGCTCACCATAGTTAGCACACCATTGGCTGCACAACTATATTCTCCTTTCAAAAAAAAAGAATTTGGGTTCACTCCCCCAGGGTTACTGGTACTCTTTTTCGTATGGCACTTTCTATTTTTATATATATATATATATATATATGATCTTGCCCCTTCGTCCATTCTAAATATGAATTCAGACCATCCTAGCCAGGCCGGAGGTCGCACCTCCGCTCATCCTCTGCAAAAAGCTATGCGCGCGCATTCGTTTATCAAACTCATCAGTTATCAAGAACCCCCTGCAAACAACGGGACGAAACGCGCACGCGCGCGTCGACGCGCGCGCATGCCGAAGTCCCACCAAAACCTAGAGTTTCGTAAGGGTTTCAAAACCGAGGGCCCCGAACACATAACAAACACATGGTTTTGCAACATCAGTGAAGCAACAAACACCTGCGCCCGCGCTCTTGCGACCTCTTGCAGTGGGGCGGGGGGCACGATCCGTGTCAAATAACACCACACGGGCCACTCGCGCGCGTCGGCCGCGCGCGCATGTCGAACTCTCAACAACCTTTATCGCCGACGCGAGGACATCATCATCGTTATCGGCGGGCGCGATCAACATCGGCGCCGTCATCGGCCTTGCCGTCGTCATCGCCACCATCGTCATCACCATCGCTACTCTCATAATCGTGTCTGCCGTTGTCGGCGTCTCCATGGTACCGCGCCCGCCAAAGTCGCCGACTCGCACTGAAATGCCCGCTGGGGAGTGCCCAGCGGTCAGCGCCACCGCGGCTGCGTCGGCCGCGCCAAGTTAGCTGGCCGTTGTGCGCGCGAGCATGCGAGGGCTATCGCGGCCGCAGAGATGCACCAGCCAACGCCAAGCACTCATCGCAATCGCCGCCGCATGGGTTTTGCAAACCAAGTTGCGGGTGGCTGGGTGGAATGTTTGCGCAAGAGCACGGGTTTGTCAACTGGTTTGAGAAACCAATTGTGCCGCACAGGTGTCACCACGAATATTGCACCACATGTATTGCGCAACGTAGACAACACAATATATACTGCAACAACTCGGTGGCACTGCGTCGACTACACCTGATAGTTTGCGCACCACATGGGTTGCACCACATATGCCGCACCGTACATGTTGCATCCTATATGTCATAACACCGGTTTCACAACATATGCAACATAACGCATATTAAGCACATAACATGCCCCACGTATATTGGATTACATGTACCGCACACCATGTTTTGCTAACCACACATTGTTTGGGGTCCACGCTGGCTGACGTCTCTATGCATGTATAGAAGACGCTTGCGGCGAACCACGGCAGCCCCCCCGCGGATACATACGCCTATGTGGCCACACGTTTGGGCAAAGTTTGGCCACGCTATTGGACCATGCGTTTCCCCAGCCGTTGTGGAAGCCCTTCGGGAAACACGTTGGGGAGGAAGGGGAGGATGAGGACACCTTTTGGGAGTTTCTTGGGTCATTCTTGGGGCCTCCTGGGAGCTTCCTGGAGACCTCTTGGAGGCCTCTTGGGGGGCCTTCTTGGGCCTCTCGGAGGCCTTGGGGGGCTTCTTGTGGGCCCCTCGGCTGTCTTGTGGCGTTCCTGGCCCGTCTGGCGCTGTCGGAAGCCGTCTTGGGAGCCTCTCTGGGCAGTCTTGGTGCCTCCTAGGGGCGCTTCAGGGTCGTCTTGACGGCCATTTTGGGTATTTTGGAGACCTTTGGGCCGTCTTGGGGCCCTTTGGAGGCCGTCTTGGAAACCTCTTGGGCCGTCCTGGGGCCATCTTGGAGGCCTCTTGGGCGATCTTTGGGGAATCTTGTGGGCCCCTCGGGCCGTCATGGGCCGTCGGAATGACGTTTCAAAGCAATTGCCACAATTTTTCAAACCGATTGCAAATCAACGATTCTGGCCTCTTCGGGCCTTTCTGGAGGAACTCTTGGAGGCCTCTCGGGCCGTCTTGTAGGCCTCTTGGACGCTTCCTGGGCCGTCTTAGGCTCCCTTGGGCCATCTCGGCGGTCTTGGATGCATCTTGGAACCGTCGTGGAGGCCAGCTTGGGGCTATCTTGGGCTCTCTTGCAGCCATCTTGCCCGGCTTGGAGGCATCTTGGCCGTCTTTGAGGCCATCTTGACCGTGTTTCCTTCGATTGGGGGGCACTGGAAACTGGGCTTCCCTCACTGCTGGCGGGTTTGGCCGAGACCCCGTGGGGAGTTCTTTAGAATCTTCAGAAAAGAACAAAACAACTTGCCACACGTTTGGCACGCCGTGCACCCCTGTGGCAAGCCACAGGGTGCGGCGGATCGAAGACGCCTACAGTGAATCACCGCCGATTCCTGCTTTTTAGGATACGCCTATGTGGCCAAACGTTTGGGTAAAGTTTGGCCTCGCTATTGGACCATGCGTTCCCCCAGCCGTTGTGGAAGCCCTTCGGAGAACCCGTGGGGGAGGAAGAGTAGGATGAGGAGAGTGAGGATAAGGGAGGATGAGGTGGAGCATGAGGAGACCTTTTGAGAGCTTCTTGGGTCATTCTTGGGGCGGGAGCTTCCTGGGGGCCTCTTGGAGGCTTCTTGGGGGCCAGCATCCTTGGGCCTCTTGTCTTGAAGGCAATCTTGTGCGTCTTGGAGGCCTCTTGGGCCATCTCGGGGCCCTTCGGGGGCTGTCTTGGGGATCTTTCGGGCCGTCCTGGGGCCATCTTGGAGACCTCTTGGGCGATCTCATGGCAATCTGCGGGGCCTCTTGGGTCGTCTGGGGCAGTCGGAAGGCCGTTTCGAAGCAAATACCCAAATCTTTCAAACCGATTGCAAGTCCATGATTTTGTCCTCTTCGGGCCTTTTGTGGATCCTCTTGGGGGCCTTTTGGGCCGTCTTGGAAGCCTCTTGGGGCCTTCTTGTGCCTCCTTGGGCCATCTTGAGGCGATGTTAGGCTGGGCTGTCTGGGGTGCATCTTGGATTGTTTTGAAGGCATCTTTGGGTTATCTCGGGCTCTCTTAGGACCATCGTGGCCGTCTTGGATGCGTCTTGGGACCATCTTGGAGCCGATCTTGGGCCATCTTGGCCATCTAGGAGGCCATCCAGGAGCCGATCACCAACGACCCGGGCGTTTTCTGGGTGGCCGGCGGGCTGGGCCGAAGACCCACGGGGTCTTCTTTAGACAAGAACCAGCAGCTTGCCAGACGTTTGGCACGCCGTACACCCCTATGGCAAGACCACAGGGGGCGGCGGATCAAGTGACCTTCGGCCCATCTCGTCGCCGTGCCTTGGTTGTAGTGTAGATGCCTCTTGTATGCTCGTGAGGATTGCTTAGGAGGCCTCTCGGAAGCCTCTTAGAAGCGTTTTTGGGGTGTCTTGTGTGCCTCTGGATGCCTTCCTTGTTGCTGGAAGCCTCCCTCTCGCCAGGATCCAGCAGGCCCCCTGGTGGCGTGTGGAGGGTACCTTCGTCCACGTTTGAACGCTGCCGCCCTCACAGGCCTGTGAGCTTCCGCGGCAGGCGGCTTGCGAAGGCAATGATGGACCTCAAGACTTTCACTCATCTTCCAGGTATTCGCCTCCTTGTGGTCCCGCCACCTCGCTGTGCCAGTGACGTTCGCATCCATGAATCATGATATCGAGAACAGGGGAATGGAGTTCGGTCTCGCTTGCAGCCGAGGGACCGAGGAAAGAGGTGTTGTCGTCGGTGTCGCTGACGGCTGGTAAGTTGAGGATGTAGATTTTGTCGGTGTCGCTGGCTGCCGAATCGGGACCGTAGATGCAGATGTTGGTGCCGCTGACAGCCGTGTAGTCCTGGAGGGAAGCGAAGTAGGTGTGACTGACAGCCGAGAGTGTATGACAGAAGTTGAGCGCTGCTATGAGCAGCTTTTGATATGTAGTTGATGTCGTGAACGTCGAAGAGGAAGAGACACCGCTGGGCGTCGATTCCGTGGCTGTCGTGGACAGCGTCGTCGTGATGATGAGGAAGGTGCACGGCGCGGCCGTGCGTAGGAAGCCCTGGGAGCTCGCACGCTCTAAGGTCCCACTGTGACACGGAAGATCTGTTTTAACTTCTCGTTGCGAAGAGGTGTACAGTAGGTTCGTGCGGCGTTGACGCGTTGGCGACTCCGCCGCGGGCGTTCAAGGTTGAAGGCCGCTGGTGGCCCATGATCGTTCGATGTTAAACGATCGGGCGATCGAAACGCCGCCGATCGTTCGAGGTTGAACGATCGACGCGGTGTCAAGAACCAACGCCGACGACATCGCCACGCGAACCTGACGTAGCTGAATTTCCAGGGGGCCAACAGACGAGCCGACATGGGCAGCAGGTGCGGTCGCCAGGGTAGCAGGCGCAGGCAAGGCAGCAATATACGAAACCTGCTAGGCAGAGATGCAGTACTCACTAGACTAGACAACACAGGAGGAGGAGGAGGAGGAGGAGGAGGAGGAGGAGGAGGAGGAAAAGGAGGAGGAGGAGAAGGAGGAGGAGGACGAGGAGGAGGAAGGGGAGGAGGAGGAGGAGGAGGAGGAGGAGGAGGAGGAGGAGGACGAGGAGGAGGAGGAGTAGTATGCACTGCACATGCGACCAGGCTAGACTGGACCTAGTGGTGGGAGTTTTGGGATGTATGCAGCTGCCCGCGGTACGCCCCGCGTCTGTTGCTTTTGGCTCAAGCCATTTGGATCGCGCTGGCCCGAGCGCTGGTCTTGCCGTTGCGCGACGTTGCCGCCCGAGCCTCGCTGCGAGCTGAGCAGGCTTTGGCAGCCTCTCCCCATGGTGCCCACGCAGTTGCAGGCCCTCGTCGTTGCACTCTTAGCTGACGTCCTGGCGCAGGTGTGCGGCAGCCAGCCTTGGGCCTCCTCGAACGACAGCGTCGACCTGTGCGCACACGGTCAGGAGCTGTGCGGCATCCGGAGCCACAGCGGCCTCGTCCCTGTCCCGCGCGGTGGCTCTCTGTTCTACTGGTATTTCGTCCCGCCGAGCAGGAACAGCTCCGCGCCGCTGGTGCTCTTCCTGCAGGGTGGCCCTGGGGCCCCGTCCATGTTCAGCGTGCTCTGGGAGATGGGGCCGGTGACGCTGGACGGGCGCGCTTCGCTCCTGCGGCGCCCCTCCGCGGAAACCTGGGCCTCGGAGTTCCCGCTGCTCTTCGTGGACTCCCCCGTCGGCACTGGCTGGTCCTCGGCGAGCGGGCCCGCGGGCCTCGCCACCAGCCAGGCCGAGGTCGCGGGCGACCTGGTCGCCTTCCTGGACGCGTTCGCCGCGCTCCACCCTGAGGCGCCGACGGAGCTCAGGAGGGAAAACGAATCGTCGACTCCAAGGAAGATCTGGGAGACTCTGGGAAGCGGGGGGTAAGAGGAAAACCCAGAAGGTATGGAAACATGTGGGGAATCCCGGGATTTCTGCCTATTCATGTCCGTGTGTCCTGGGGCCCCCTTAGGACCTCGTGGTCGTCGGGGAGTCCTACGGTGGCCACTTCGTGCCGGCCCTGTGCGCCGCCCTGCTCGACCGCCCCGGGCCCGGGCGGCACGCGCTGCGCGCGGCGGCCGTCGGCAACGGCTTCACAGACCCGCCCACGCAGGTGCTCACGAAGCCTCAGGAGGCGTTCGCATTCGGCATGATCTCGGGGAGCAAACAGTGACAGAAACATGAAAACCTGAAGCTCCGCGTGGTTTTCTCGGATCAGTTCTGGACCACCCTCCCCGGCGCCCGGAGCGCGCCAGGGGCGGCGCCGAAGGTGCCGCCCGGGGGTCCCAGCGCCGATCCGAGGAATCCGCGCGGACCTCCGAGTTTTTATTTTTGTGTCATCGTTCGTTCCCCTATGATCGACGAGCGGCAGCTGCTGCAGGCCACGAAGCTCGCCACGGAGGCGCACGACCTGGCGCTGGCAGGGTCGTACGTCGCGGCGGCGAAGAGCCGGGCCGCCATGGAGGAGCTGGTGATCAATGCGTCTGGCCTGAATCCACACGACGTGCGGACCACGGAGGGCTACGACCGGATCAACGACCTCATGCAGACTTTCTTCGACCTGAACGAAACGAAGGACATGTTGCACATCCCCAGAGAGAGCAAGTTCACCAGCTTCTCAAAGGAGGTCCATGACGCTCTCATGAGTGATATCATGCGCTCGCAGCAACACAACGTTGAGAAGATGTTGCTCGCTGGAATCCGCGTGTTGCTCTACCAGGGGCAGTTTGATTGGAAGGACGGTGTGGTCGCCAACGAGGCCTGGATCCGCTCCATGCAGTGGCCTGGGATCGCTGGGTATCTGCAAGCCGAGCGGATGATCTGGAGGCGCGCTGTGGACGGAAATGTTGCAGGCTATTGGCGGCGGTTCAAAAACCTCGAGCAGGTCGTCGTGCTAGGAGCGGGGCACATGGTGCCCATGAACCAGCCCCTGTCTGCACTGGACATGATCCAGCGCTTCGTTCGGCAGCGGCAGCCGGCGGAGAGACCTGCAGCGGCCGCCTCTCGCGGGACTGTCCTGGTGTGAGCCCCGAGTCCATCCCATTTCCCAGAGCGAAGCCTCATCGGCGCCAGATCTGCCTCACGTCTATCTTCTCCTATTTGCTACAGCGTCTCCGACTAGCCTGCCTGGAGCTTCCAGGGAGTAAAAAAGTCCCTGCCTCCCTCCAGACGTCGTTCGGGTGGGGCGGGCCTTTTCGCCTCCAGTTGCAGTACGGTCAGAGCCGAGCAGGCGGAGGAAGAGCGGAAGGTGGCAGAAGTCCATTCGAGGAGGGCTCGGGAGTCCCCGAGGCACCGTGGAGCGTTTTCCTCCCGGCGGAGGTCGGCTGGCAGAAGCTGGCTCCCAGGGCCTTTCGAGCCAGGCCGGGGCGACATCTCGCACGCGTTCGCAGACAGGGTCGGATGCGAGAGCAGCTGCGAAGACGCGCCATCCAAGTGCGTGCTGTGGCTGCGCAGCTTCAGACGTGCTCGTCCCACGCACCATCCCATCGCGCTGCAGCCCTGAACCACCTGCTCGGCCTTGCGGAGCCAGCGAACAGTCATTCTGTTTTCGAGAGGTGGACGTACGCTAAATAAGAAGCATCTAATGGGGTTAAGTGTGGGGTTGGATGGGTAGGTGTTGGTAGGGGCTGGCCAGGCTCAATTTTGACCTCCCCCTCATTTTCTTCCCTTTCCTTTCTCCCTATCGTTGTCGTTCCCTTCCTCCTCCCTTCCCTCAGCCTCGTTGTGTTCACGTATTCCAGGGGTTTACGCGGTTCCGCCCATCGCCAAAGAGATGTTTGACATAATGGTTGGGCAGAAAACAGACGAGGAGAAGGACCTGGATGGTGAGGAGGGCGAGCAGCAGGAAGGGGTCTCTCGGGGTATCTGGATGGCTTTCCTATCGTTGTCGTTGCCTTCCTTCTCCTTCCGCAGCGTCTTGATTTTCTTTTGTACGTCTTTTACTCCGTCCCTTCGCCCTCGTCCCTGCGAGAGGAGGAGAAAGAGGAGGAGACGGAGGAGGAGAGGGGGGGGGGATAGGAGAAATGAGAACAATGACGACGATGATGACGCGAGGAGGAATGGAACGGAATGGTAAAGACGCGTAGCGTCAATGAATTCCTCTCGAGCCCCGCCCAGAAGACGAAACATAATATGAACTCCCAACCTTCGAACACCACACCCTGGGCTACGCAAGTGTCGCCACGCATTGGTTTCGCACATGTTATGCTCGACGGGGCATTGGTAGGACGATGTGAGCTAACATTGTTGGAGCCGCCCAATAAGGTGGTGTCTGAGAAGAAGCACGAGGAAGCACACATGAAATGTACCATGCTGCCTGGCCAAGACAGGAACTGGTAAAGACCACTGCAAACCAGGGCACTTGCAGATCTGAGCGTTGTAGCTGATGACAGTCGGGCCAGGTATCGGTTCCTTCATTGCTTTGGGGCAACGGCTGAGCTTTCCGAATCTGCTTGCCCTTCTCGCATGTGCTGGAACAAGCAAAGTAGGACATGTGGTCATGCATCAGTGCCCAGACCCAAACAGCCTGCTGCCACTGCCCGCCATTCTGGCACGCACCGCTCTCGCTGTACAGCGCCAGGACGCACAGCTGCTGCACCCGCTGCACGCGCAATGCCGAGCCCGACGTCCACGAAGAGCACGAACGGCACGAACGGCAAGCACAGCACAACCCGGTATAGCGGCCCAGAGGAACACACCCTCATAGTGTTCCCAGCATGAAGTCGCCGCAAAGAGGATACTCCAACTCGTTGACAAACTCGACGAGGCGCAGGGGATCCATTCCCGACTCAAACGGTTCTCTTCGATTTAGCCAACCCGACAAACCTAGGCTCACTGGCCTGGGCGGCGCGGGTGCCACTCAAGCGCCACGGCCGGGCATCGAGGAACGACTGAGGGCCTACCCGATGGAGCCAACCACAACGGAAACTCTCGAGCCTCTTGTGCTTGAGGCGATGACGCGAGGAGGAGAGAAGAAGCGGTGAGGGAACACGGGGTTAATTAACCAAGAGGAAGGAGGGGGCATGAAGAGGGGGTGGCTAGAGGGCAGGTTGCGATTGCATGTTCGCTGCGCAACGGCTTCCGCCGATCTTCCACAGGATTCTTCCTCATATCTTCGATCTTCAGCCCATCCTCGATCTCCCTCCCATCCCAGATCTTCCCCATCCAGGACCCCCATCCCCCAACGCTCGATCATCAACCCATGGTCGATCCCCATCTCCACTTCGGTCTTCCTCGCAACTTAGTTGTTTTTTGTATTCCATCATGGATCCCCATTTTCCGATCTTCGATATGCCTCCCACCTTTGGTCACCCTCCCATTCTCGATCACTCTTGCAGCTTGGATTCTCGATGCCCTCCGACCTCGACACTCGCCTTTCCGTCCCCGACCCCTCCCTTCCATCCTCGATCCTCCACCCATCACTCCCATCCCGGATCGTTTTCCTTACCTTGATCCTCGATCTTTTTTCGCATCCTCAATCCTTCTCCTTTTCCTTCTCCTCCTCCTTCCATCATTTCTCCTCTTCTCATCATCGATCCCCCTCTCATTCTCGATCCTCCTCCCAACTACGATCCTCGATCCTCCTCTCATTACCGATCCCATTCCCATCCTTGATCCTCCTCCCTCTACCTCCTTTTCCTCATCCGCGTCCTCTTGTTCGTGCTGCCCCCAATCCTACTGTACTCCTGTTCGTGCTTCTGCTCTTGCTCTCACTGCCGCCACATTCCCCTCGTAGATTCGTGCTCCCACCCCCGCATCGCCCGCCCAGGTAATGACCCCAAATGGGCCCTCCCACTCGACCGACCGGAAGTGAATACAACATCGGCGCACTTCTTCCCGACAGAGACAAGTCTCGGTCCTCCTCCTCCTCCTCCTCCTCCTTTCCTTTCCGTCCTCCCCTTCCAATTCGTCTTCCTCCTCTCTCCTTGCCGTTCCCGCTCCTCCTCATCCTCGTCCCTCAATCCCCATCCTCCTCCGCGGCCCATGCGGCCCGTACGAGCGCAGGATGCATGTGGCTTACGCGGCCCATATGGTCCACAGGAAGCCGAGAAGGGCAGACTTCCTTGTGGCACTACACATAATACTGTAGCAGGCTGAGGCGGGGGTTGGTTTCAGCAATTGTTCGACATGTATACCTGTCCATCGTATATCAGAAATCGCCAATGATCTTTAGGACTCACGGGGGCATGCTTGGAAGGTTCCGCATGTGGATGGCACCGTTTGTGTTCTTGCAGTCGCTTTCCCGTTGGTTCGACTGACGCTGAAACGAGTTCATCGAGGGTGCACGCGGCGGAAATAAGTACGGAAGGACGGAGCGGTAGGAGGAGAAGTAGAGGGACCTGGAGCGAGGTTTACAGCATGATGGGCAGGGACACTTTGACACGAAGAAAGGGCGGCGCAAGGGCAGCGCGGGGGCAGCAGGGGGGAACAATAGCTGGCCGAGTTGGCCCCAGTCGGCGTTGGCTCCAGTTGCCTCCCCCCTCCCGCCGCCCCCCCCTGCCTGTTTAACTCGATCGCGGCACTCGCCCAATAAGGGGCGCCACATATTGCCGCACGGAGGGGGAAGAACGGCCTCTTCCTGTGGACAAGTCCGGGTCTTGAGAGTTGTAGACCCCTCGGCTATCCGAGCTCAGGCAGGGGATCGTGCTTCTCCCCCTATCCCTCGCCCTCACCCTCCCGCTCCAGCTCCTCCCTCCTCCTCCCTCTCCACTGCTCTCCTCGTCCGAGGGAGGGATCGGATGTCGGATATGGCGCGAGCGCACCTAGCTTGTCCTCTTCCCCCCTCTCCCCTCCCTCTCCTTTCTTCCCCTCCTTATTGTTTTGCGATGCAAGGACCTAACGCACGGGCTTGCGGCGTTAGGGCAAAGGAAAAGCAAGCGCCGACTTAGGCGAAGAAGCAATTACATTAGGCTAGCGGCGAGCGCTGTGGACAAAGACAGGCATTGAACTAATGACAGCTGAGAGAGGCCCTAACAACGGCGAAGAGTAAGCGCTCGCCGCCAGCACTGGGGGAGGTACCTGGGAAATAAAGGAAGGACGATGATAATGATGACCATCACTGAGGAGGATACCGAACGATGAGAGGACTAAACATACATGCAAAGTGACAAAAACTACAACATGTACAGGCGACTCGTGGAAACAACTAAGTGTTCGCTGCAACGCCTGGTGTAACCTTGGCACTCCCCCCAAGATAACCGCCACTCCCCAATTTTTGTATAGGTCCAGGCGAGCAGCACAAAGTGAGGGAGGTGCAAGTGTTGATGCTAGCTGAGAAACAGCGCGATATGTAAGGGAGAGAGCGTACAAGTTGTATTGGGGCTGACACAGCCTGTGCTACCTGTGCTGGCTGGCCCTGCAGAGAGTACTGGTGCTGAGCACTGAGAGGAAGCGAAGTGCCTGCTATAGTTCAAGTAGGCTGATGTGCATGCTGAAATACAGCAGCAGGTCGCCCAACCGTCGTCCACTCCCACCCGGCTACCTCCCCCCACCCAAGCCCCATCCACCACTCGAGTACTTGCTAATGGGCCGCCACTGCCTGGCTTTGAACGTAATGGTTTGTGCGCGATGGCTTGGCTGTAGCTAGACAGAGCCTTACAGTCTGGTGCCAGATGTGCTGACTGGCAACGAAGTAGGCTGGAGAGCAGGAGCTGCTAATGTACCATCCTCTAGCACCCTCCTGTGTGTAGGCTGGCTCAGGCTGTGCTGGCTGGCCTGTGGCGGCAAAGAGCAGCGCGAATGTGAGAGAGCATTGGCGGCTGTGGACAGGCTGTGCTAGAGGTGCAGAAGTCAGAGTTAGTTTGAGGAAGTACTGGCCTGTGCGGTGGCTGCAGCTGCTGCAATGTGTGCACCTGTGTGGCTGCGCAAAGGCGGCTTAGAGCTGTAACAAGAGTGCAAGTTAGGTGGCAGTTCTTGGGTTTCCGCCCGGGGTTTTTCGGTTCACCCCGAACCTCCTTGGTCAAAGGACCCTCTTTTTTTCCCCATATCCTAAGGATTGGGGTTCTTGTTATTACTCTGACGCCTCCC